CTCTCTTTTCTTTCTTCCTCTGATTTAATTTTCTTTTCTCTCCTCCATTATAAATTTTTACTTAAATACTTTTTAAATAACCATTCTACAAGTATCCCTTCTTCTAATTCAAACTTCTTTACCTTTCCACTATGAATTTTAATCCTAAATAATTCATTTAATTATCCATTATGCAAATATTTTTTGTTTCAAATTAGTTACCGTTAACTTTAAGTGTCAAAATTAATTAATTAGTAAAAAATACATTAACAATATTATTGCCAATTTTGCAAAATAATAAATAAAAATTTTAATTGAATTTGTTATTTGAATTATTTTCAAAAATTTTAATGTGTAAAATTTTGTAAAATTTCTCAATCGTATTATTTTGCCATTCGAAGATTTTTGGATCACTGTGCCACGATCGTTTCCACAAGGATGTTAAATTTGACCTCATTTGATTGTACATTGATTGAGCCGAGAAAATAAAAGGAAAAAAAAATAAAATTAAATAAATAAAACCAATTTATCTATCGTCTTCCTTATCTTTCAATGAATCCTTAATGTGAACCCTCCCTCCCCCTCTTCTACCACCCGTTCTTTAGTGACAGTCTGAGGTATTGTTTGTGGAAATTAAATCATTCAACAAAACCATTCTTTCCCTTCTTTTGTTCATTCATCTTTTTTTCATTTTTTAATTTTTGACAATTTAAAAAAAATGAAAATTTGATCTAATTTTCTTTTTATAATTTGATTAACGAAAAAATTTTTTTGTAGCAATATTTTAAAAATATTAATTAATATTATCATTTTGAAATTATTATTGTTTTTGAATAAAATTAAAAAAACAATAATTAAAAAAATATCAAACTAAAATTGATAAAATGAAATAAAATAATGAAAGATTATAATAAACTTTCTGCTGAATTATTTTATTTTAAATTTCATCGTTGAAAAATATGTCAAAGAGTTAAACAAATATCAGTTAATAATTTCTTATTGTTTTTAATTAAAATTTAAAAAAATTATTAATTAAAAAAATCAAATTAAAATTGATAAAACGAAGTAAAATAATAAAAGATTATATTAGACTTTCTGCTGCAATTATTTCATTCGTTGAAAAATATATCAAAGAATTAAATAAATATCAGTTAATAATTTTTTTCGTATCAAACAAACACATTAATCATACGGCGATGCATTAGCGAACTATTTTTAAATTTCAACATAAAAACATCTTTTATATTAATTACTCCAATGTTAGTCATAATTAATTAATATATTGAATAAAAAAATGGACAAATGTAAAATATGGATACCTTGCAAATAGTGGTCAGCATTATTTATCGTCCCATTAAGTTACATACGTGAATTTACCTAAAAATAATAGATAAATCTTTTTTTATAGGAAAAATAATCACAAAATTAAATTGATAAAATGATTTCAAGTGATAATAAAAAGTTCACAGAATTAAATTTATAAATTTGAAATGATAAACTTATTATGATTTCGATTCAAATGATATAAAAGCATGCTGTTGAATAATTCTTTTCTTATTGCAATCATTTCATTTTTATGTATCACATTAAATTTACTGATAATAGAATTTGAATAATTTTTTTTCTCTTCCAGTAATTTTGGAATTGTAAGACAAAACATTAATTATCAAAATAATTAACACAAAATGAAACAACTGGAAACAATGTGAAAAGATAAATAACATTTGGCTAATCATAAATAAGAATTAATTTCATATTACAAACATATTATCATCTGAAATTATCAAACATTTTCAAGTTAATCAATAAATTAATTGTGAACAAAAGAAAAATAAAATAAAATGTAATTGTATAATAACGACATTGTATAATATCTAATATCATAACATAATTTATTTAATTTATAAAATAGGATTGTATAATATCTAATATCATATCACAATTTATTGTTTCAAAATTCATCATATATTTCGAAATTATAATTTATTATATTAAAATTGAATCAAATTATATAATAATTAAATTATAGCTAATGAAATAATAGAAAATTAATGAAATTATCGAATTAACATAACTATTTTGTAATACAAAATAATAGAGAATGAAGAAATTTCCTTAAGAGATAATCATTTAAAATAGATAGTTTCGAGAACGTTTGGGGGGTAAAATCGGAGAGAAACTAACGGACGAAATTGAACAGTACACTTCAAACCGAGTTCATGGCCGTTTTCGGTTCACGCAACCCTTTTCATATTCATTATTACTACCAACATCACTACAGTCATCACCCTTTCCACCTTCTACTCATATCAGCGCCTGTCTTCATCACAGGTGTATAAAAACGTTACGCATCTGGCATTTGTAAAAATCTGTCTATTCATGCATATATGTCTGCATGTGTGTATGTGTGTATATATATCTGTATTGTTTCATACATTTGTATCATCAACTGATATGATTTACCGATATCATTTAATATTTGTGTGGAATGTAGCGAAATTAATTTTCAACAATAAATTTAAATTTTGAATTAGCCAAAAATTGTCAAAAACAAAAAAATCAAACAATAAATGAATAAAAGTTATAAAAAAAATTAATTTGCATATTATCACTTTGTTTTAATTTTTACTGATAAAATTACACTGAAGGGAAGTGAAAATAAAATCGAATGCTATTTGATTATTAATTAAATCTTAAACATATTACATACATTTCAATATTTACACAAAAAAGTATAGTACAAATTAATATCAGTAACGGATTTTAGAACGATTACGACGAATTGCAAAGGCAAAAAATTAAATTATCGTTACCAGAATATAACGTTAAATTTTAACTACATGAAATCATTTTCTTCTAACCTTGCCTATCAATTACTATTAATATTATTCAATTCAAACTTTTAACAAACATTAATTTATGCTATTAATAATTTTATTTAATAAAAAAAATAAAATTATAATAAATTTTAATTGGAAGAAAAAATTCGAAATTCATAACAAAATTATAATAAAATAATTGTAATAAATTATTGAATTTATTTAACACATAGTTTTATTTTTTACTTTACTTTTATTGTTTGTCATAAATTTATAAAGAATTATTCGAAATTTATGTTATTTTTAATTTGACAAATTTCGTTTGTATTCCGATATCAGTCACTAATTGAAAAATTTATGATTCAAATTAATTGAAAATTTATGATTCAAATCAGAAATTAAAAATATAAGGAACAACAATACGAATCAACAACGGCTACCGCATCATAATTGTTATAAATACCATTATTAGTGATCATCGTTGACCCGAATCTTTTCGTCACATATCAAAATAAGATATGAATTATAACAATACAAATCATCCTACTGTTTGATCATTAGTGTTTGTGTGTATTTGTTTTGTATATGTGTGTGTGTGTGTGTGTGTGTGTGTGTGTGTGTGTCTGTGTGTGTGTGTGTGTGTGTGTGTGTGTGTGTGTGTGTGTGTGTGTGTGTGTGTGTGTGTGTGTTGATTTTAAATTTTGAAATAAACTTCACACTTTTCTTTTTTTATTCTAAAATGCAAATCTTAGTTTATTATAAATTAATGAAAGTATAAATAGTTAAGAAATATAAGGACTTCAAAAGTTTTGCTTTGTTTCCTTTAAAAGAATTTCAAAATTTTTAATCAAAATACTTAATTTTTACTTAAATACAAACACATGATGGATATATGCAACAAAATTTTTTGATATATTTTATAGAAAGCAAAATTTCGCATTATCAATAAAAGAATTATTTTTGAAAATCTATTCTAAAAGAAAAAAATTTCATTTCATAACAGTTTTATTAATTAATTATTTTTTTTTTCATAAAATAATAAAATGGCGAAAATGTCAAGAAATATTGAATNTCGCATTATCAATAAAAGAATTATTTTTGAAAATCTATTCTAAAAGAAAAAAATTTCATTTCATAACAGTTTTATTAATTAATTATTTTTTTTTTCATAAAATAATAAAATGGCGAAAATGTCAAGAAATATTGAATGCTTCGATGAAAGCGTACTGTGATGAAATATTGTATGCATCCGTCGAAGCATTCAATATTTCATTACAGTATGCTTCCGATGATTTCAATTACGTACGTCCGAAACACTTCACTAACATAATTTAGAGATCGCAAAATAAGGAAATTGTTAATTATAATAAATTTCATAAAATAGCATTATTTAGTCTTGCGATAAATTTTAAAAAGGAATTTATTCTATTGCTATTAATTATCTTTTTAATTTCCAATTTAAAATCCATATGTCAACATTTATTATTCCTTATCTTTCAATTAAAAATTTCAATACTTCTTTTGTTTAACAATAAATTAGGAATTGCTTAATTATTTCTGATTGATGCAGGAATAAATTCAATTTCAATGCTATTGAATGCTGTACATTATTTCATTTTACAACTCACTGTATTATTTTTATTCATTGCTGAAACTTCTGAAAATACTATCGATGATGGTGCTGCTGTAAGTAAGGGTGACGACGCATTCTTTCCTCACATTTTCAAATTCTTATATAAGAATGAACAACTATGTAAGTTATATTATTTGCATGCAAGTGATATAATTTATGATATTTGGTAATAACAAGGGTGATAATACTGCTGCTATTACTGCTATTACTACTAATAATAATTGATAATAATAATAATAGTAATGGGAAAAAATAATGCTAAGTAAATTATAATAAATGGATATCATTTTTCGGCTCTTAAATTTAAATTATCAATTGCTTGATAACTACAATAATGCTTAAAAGACAAATCTTAATCTTTATGATTCTAATATTTAGGATGATCAAAAACTTTAGCAAAGTTTTGATTTTAATGATTGGGTCTATATTGAACAATAACAATACTAAATTATATAAACTGATTACACGTAATTGAAATTGTTCACCTCACTTTACTTTATTAACAATACTAAATAATATAAACTGATTACACGAAAACTAAAATTGCCCACCTCACTTTACTTTATTAACAATACTAAATAATATAAACTGATTACACGTAACTGAAATTGTCCACCTCACTTTACTTTATACTGTCAAGGTTGAATTTTTGTAATAGATTCTTAATTTATAACTAACAATTATGTTATTATTTATTTTTCTATTTATATATCAGAAATTTTTTTAGGTGGTGACGTTTTTGCCGAACCACAATGGCTTCCTGCACAAAGTGACTGTCAAATTCTATGTCCGGTATGCATTTTATCCTGTATATGATATAGAAAACAAAGTAACATGATAATGATGAAAGCTGTTAAATGAACAGTTCGAATAATGAAAGGATAGAAGAAAAAAATGATTTGTTTTCTAATCGATAATATAGTTTAGATGACAAAAGGTTTGTGCCTGATATATGTTAATCTAAGCAACAATGGTGCTCGAATACATAAACAGAAGTGTCGTTATTGTAAGTTTTCATTTGGTTAAGCAGCGTTTTTCGTTCTATTTGTTGCGAAATCTTCAAATATTATTTAAAAGAAATATTTTGATTAGATCACGATGATTTTTAGTCTCAGCGGATTGTGCCAGCGAATTACAACGATTATTGGTTACTTCTGCATTCACTAACACAACTCGTGCTACAACTACTGATGTTACCCTTGCAAACGTTACTACTATCTCCAATACTATCATAAATAACACCAATAATACAATCAAATATCATAAAGGTAAGGATGAAGTATGGAATGAACTGCATAGAAGAATTCGTACGAATCATGGCAACAGTAACATAATCGATGCGACACGTCAGCCAGCACCTAAATTACGGAGTGGACATAGTGGAAAACGGGAAGAAACTCGATTTAAAAGAAAATTTCACGGTAAGATCATTAAAAATGAAAAGGCTATTCATAATTACAGAAAGCTATTAGATGAATTATCCAGCGTGAATTCATAAGCATCGAAGTTAGTGATGAAAATTTCATGTTAAATTCTTCTTGAAAAAGTTAGCAGGCAAAGACGAATTTTAATTAATTAACTTCAATAGATGATGAAAAATTGCTAATGGAATATGGATATTACCAGACAATTGAGAATAATGGGAAATAAAGTCGGATAAATAAACTTAGCAAGCTAATAGAAACGCATAAATAAACTTAGCAAGCTAATAGAAACGCATACAAATTTAAATAATATTTTCAAAAAATAGAATACAACTATAAATCGATAATTATACAAAAATCAACCTTAAAAATTCTAAATAGTTAATATTATGAAATTTCCGTAATCAACTATTTATTGAATCGCGAAGTTTATCAATTGAAGAATTTGTTAATAATGCGTTGAAGTTATATTTTAAACTGTACTATGTGCCAAGAAAAGAACTTTATTCTATAAGAAACATAAAGCAAGATTGTCATACACTACTGTTGAAATTAAAATTGTCATGCACTATTGTTGAAATCAGTACAACAAACAACATTGAAATATTTTATAAGTCGAATTAAATTCCTGTAAAAAACTATGGAGATGAATAACTCTATGAATGTGAATTTCGTACGCAGGTAGAAGATGAAGAGAAATGAATAATGATGTCGATCTATTTAATTTCCAAAAGAATTTATCTACAAGCAAAACGAAAAAAGCTAATTGACCCGATGATATATTGAATTAATGGATCGGTTTGATTATATCGTAATCAAATCGTTATCATTAATAGAGTTTGTAGGTAATTATTCGAAATGAATAAAGTTTATAACTAAAATATGAAATTTCAGTTGAATTAAATGGATAAAGTTTGCATGATGTCCGAAGACGAATATTTATATGAACAAATGACTCGATGATATATTTTGCTATCATTGGATCTAATCTATTCATGAATAAAAATTATTATCGAAATGTAAATATAGCAAAAGATACAATTTTTGGTACAATATCAAATTTATGAATCATCAGTGTTACAGTAATTTTACAATGATATCGTTGATACATACCATTTACTATTAATAATGTAATTTATGTTAACAGCAGAAACGTAATTCTGTTTTGCAACAAATTTTCCATGTGAATATCTAATCGGTAGATACAATTACAATAATTATTTGTCTATCAACTGCTGATAACATTATTCAAAAAAGTGGAATTAATGACAGCAATATTTTTTATCGAATTTTCTTTTAATAACAATAATAAACAATTAACAGATAAGTATTGAATATCAAACTTATCAAATATTATATTTCATTATTGTTAAGAATAAACTAATTTATTTTTATATTATTTATAAAATTATATGATATAATATTTGTCAAAGTTTTTGTTAAAATAACAGTATTATATAATTTTTGTCATTCTATTTTAATTGATACGGTCATTACTGAACAATTCCTCGTAATATGTAACACTTTTTTGACAACTAACTGTTATCACTTTGATGTATTATCTTTTTTGTGATAAAAAATATAACTTTCAAAGGAATTATTGTTTTTTATTAAATTAAAAAATGCACAATATATTCATCTTATAATTAATAGATTGATTATGGTACTAATAACATTGATACGTCTTCATTATGCATTCAGTATTTGCAAGTCTAAATGAGAATATTTTGTGATTGCAAATAAGTATTCAAAAATTTATGTGATTTTATCATTGGAATGAATAAAGAAGAAAGCATCCGATATATTAAATCAATGAGTTTTGATCAAAAGTTAATAAAATAATAAAATTGCTGCTGTTGAAAAATTCATTTTAATTCTAATTTAATTTTATCAAAACTAATAAATTTATTTATTTTTATTATCTTTTTTTAACTACTAGTAATAATAGTGTATTTTAAAATAATATAACATATATTTTTTTCTCATTAATAATAATTAAAACTATATTCAATGTTTTTATAATGTTTCTGTTGTCTGAAAGTTTACAGCAATGTGTTTTGTGTGTGTGTATATGTGTGTGGTACTTGTTAAATCTTTATTTTACATTTTAATGTATCTGTGTGTGTGTGCGTGTGTGTGTGTGTGTGTGTGTGTATGTATGTATGTATGTGTGGTACTTGTAAAATCTTTATTTTACATTTTAATGTATCTGTGTGTGTGTGTGTGTGTGTGATACTTGCAAAATCTTTATTTCACATTTTAATGTATTTTCTAAGTCTTTTAATGCTTCTGCATAATTACTAATTTACTTATAGTTAGTTTAGAAAGAAAAAATGCATTAAAATTTATTTCTTTCTATTGTGTGATCGATTAAGTTAAAATATAATTTATGTCATTTCATAACTTTTTTCATAAATTGAAAAATGTTTCAAATTTCTCTCTTTCTCTCTCTCTCTCTCATTCTTCTAAAATATTTTTCATATAATTAGGAAAAGAAATGTGACAATTTTTGATTCCGATTTTATAACAAAAAAATTTAGCTATGAAAAGGAAAAATGTTGGAATGAGTTTATTAAATTAAACAGACAAATAAGTTATTGAATTTGCTAGAGTTGAGAAAGCAATCGGTAAATTATTAAACTTTTTTGAACTTTAAAAAGGAATAAGCAAGGATATATAAGAAATGATATCAAAGCACTTTCGAATGATAAGAGATTGCTCTTATCAAAATGGAATCGATTTCAAATGTTCCATCAAATGATTCGTCTAGCTGTTCTTTTGGTTAAAAGTTGTAATTTAATTTTCAATCAATTTAATTAAATGTTGATGATTGAATATCCCACAAATCTTCATTACTTTTAACAATCAATGTTCATGAAATATGCCGAAAATTTTTTATTAGTAACTGACAACGATCTTATTGTAATGGGTTAATTACTGATACTATAAATTCGGAATTTTAAAACAATGATGACATTGTGGAACAGATTCATGAAATTTTTAATATATTCAACGCATTGGAAAAAATTGCAATTTTTATAATACACACTTCGGTTAGCACATTTAATGATAATTAGTAAAAAACTTTTTAGCATATTTCAGCATATTCAATGATAATTAAGCGAATTTTTTCTTCTCAACCTTTGCTCTTTTTTGCACATTTTCTTAATTAAGACTTCATTAATTATATCGATTTACAATTTATTTACTATACTTGACGAAAATTACCTTTGTGAATATAATCACTTCACGATTAGTATGTTGGAATAAATCAGTTAAAGAAAGAACGATTTTATGAGAAGAAAGCTAATTTAGAAAATACGGCGAAAAATCATTGCCAATTCAATTCACTTCATTTATCTAACTCTTAACTATAATTGGACAAATAGGAGAGTTAGAGATTTGCTTACAGCTATTCAATTTTTCCACCATTGTGTAAGAAACCGTAGCAAATAATGAAAGCCCACGTATATATAGCGAAAAAGAAACTTATAATAAACAAATGCAATATATCTGATAAAAGTTATTATGAGTAATAGCAAATAATATTCATAGCATTAGTTTTTTTCTTGACACTTCTAATCGTTTGCTGATTAGTTCCTTCAGTTTTTATTCAATTTATTCATTCGTAAATCGAGAAAGGTATCATCTATCAGCTTATAATTGTATGTAAAGTGATAATGTGTAGCACTGTAACAAATATGGAAAATCAGAATCTCTTAGGATAATATTAAGAAAGAAGAGGTTGAGGCATAAATAAAGCAGTCGGAAATTTCTGAATTTCCTATAATGATTTTATTCCATAATTTTAGATCTTCCAAAAATAAATTGGATATAATTTTAAATAGATTATCATTGATTTCTCATTGATTTCTCTTTGATCTAAAAAAAATCATATACCAATAAAACTTATGTTTTAACAAAAATTATCAATGAAAATTTGTAGGATCATTTAAATTTATTTAATCCATTACTACTTGTTTCTTTATTCTACTCTATTCATAGATTACTTTGCCAATCCTCATTTCTCCACTATTGACATTTTGTAGCTACTTTATTATTCTAATAATAAATGCAATTTCAAACATTGTTTTATAGTTGCTCGTTGTTGTTAGTGCAGTAATTTTCACTATTAATTCTTGCTAAGAAGTTTGAAATTTTACTGTTAGTGGAAAAAAAATTTACAATGTTAGATTATAATTATATATTTGATAATGAAAATTTTCGATGCCTTATAATTATTATATTAATTTATTATATTGATTTTTTGAATCTAAAAGAAAAATTATGTAAATTTAAAAATGCATGAAATCAATTTCTTATGAAATGAATAAATGACAATTTATCGTAAATTGCTAATTCACTTAGGTAATTCAATTCAACGAATTACAACTATATATACATTTCAGATCAATACAATCTAAGAAAAAGAAAACGATAAATATTAATAGTTTCTACTATTAGCAATTTTTACATTAATTGACTAAACAAGAAATTAATTAAAAATTATTGAGATATTCTCATTAGGTATATTAATTTTTTAAATTGGAATTTGCAACATTTAATAGTATTTAAATTGCAGATACTTAATATCTAAAAAATTGATATTGCTATCGCATATAAATTACGAATGAAACGAATAATTCAAGAGAAAATTGCTACCTAAAATTATGGTTATTCGTTCTTGCAGTATTATCATATTATTGCTGATATTACCATTATTAACCTGTCACCATGATAAACACGAAGATGAACCTAATCTAATAGGGGAGTATTATACTGGTTTAAAATATTTGTCGATTATACTTTTTTCACTATTTCTGTTATATGGTATTGTTGGTAATACGTTGATGGTAGTCGTATTTTGCACCAGACATGAGAATTCTCATTATCATACATTTATTCTTATCGTATCACAATTGATTATTTGCAATTTCTTAAGTTTCTCTTCACAATTTGCCCTTGTGTTACCAGAATTGTTACTACGAAATAGTTTAAATGGTAAGTTGAATTTATATATCATTATTCACTATGATTCATTAAAGTTTGGAATCTCACTATGATTCATTAAGGTTTGAAGTTTAGATTTTTAGAAAGTTAATATTCCGTTGAATTTTATCATTCATTGAATTCAACGGAGTATTAACTTTATACAAAATTCTTCCTTTCTTAGAAGCTCTTTTAAACTTAATAGCAATTACATTACCTTCATTTATAATTTCTTTTCCTCAATAATTAAATTTATTATATTTCAGTTCAAGAAAGAACATGGACAATTAATCATATATTTGCAAGTGTGAAAACATTCGCATTTTACTCCACGTTGCATTTTACATTTCTATTGACACTAAATCGTTTTATAATTTTAATCGTACCAAAATATAATAATCTTTTCAAATCAACAAATTTATATTGGTTACTTCTCTTTGTGTGGTTAACAGTTTTCGGTATGATTCATTGATTTTCACACAAATAATTTGTAAAATTATTTCTAATCCATCTAATCTCATCTAACCCATCTAATTTGATCCCTTTTGAAAAATCCAAATCATTTATTTATTATATTTAATAGAATTTCTGGATTAAAAAAATGAATTCTGTTTAAAACACTTATAATATTATTATACCACAATATGCGTCCGGTAGAGATTCCGGAAAAAAAAAGGAGATCGAATATGAAATACAGTCTTTGTTGAACAGATTTAAATTTTTTTGGAAAGTTCCGGAAAAAAAAGGGGATCGAATCATTTCATTTGTTTATTGTATTTAATACAATTTCTGGTATTAAAAAATGAATTCTGTTTAAAATACGTATAATATCACAATATTACAATATACGTCCGGTAAGGATTCCAGAAAAAAACAGGAGATCGAATATGAAATATAGTTTCTGTTCAACAGATTCACATTAAAACTTTTTCATGTCTATTTTTTGCTTACTGCATTCATTTGTTTGCAAATAATATATAAAATTATTGCTAAGTTTTAAAAAATTCATCAAATATAAAGCTGCTTAATTATTACCGTATTCATGGTCATCTTGGTTTTTCAATGTTTTTCATTTATTTATAATGAATTATTCCAATTCTATTTAGTTATTCATAAATTTAAAGCTGTTTATTTATTCATAATTGCAACTTTCAGCTACTTCATTTACGGATTTTTATTTCTGCTCCAGAGCATTTTATGTGGAAGATTTATATTGGACATTACATTGTTCAAAACAATCAACTGAAAGTGGAAAAATTTTCTTAAGGTTCTTTTAAATTTTATCTTTCTTTTTAAATTACAATGAAAATTTTAAAATTTAAAATTTCCAAATGCCATTGTACCTTTTTTTCAATATTCTATTGAACATTTGTTTTATATATTACTTTTGCTCAATAATTTTAGAAGTTCTTTTTACAACGTTTTCCATAATTTTTCAGTTTTTTTAACGCATGGAGCATATTCTTACCTGCTGTGATGTTTATTATGTATATTATCATATTCCACAATATCCGTCGTAAACGCCGTATTGCTTCAGATATTATTCGCACACAACGTTGGTTACTATGAAATTATTTCTTCCTTCAATAATATGAAAAAATCAGGAGAAAATTATTATATAACTTATATATTATGAAGTACCATCAATTACTTAAAATTTTTTCTAAATTCATTCAATATTTCAAAATCATCTTCCATTGTTTTATAGTTAAATTAAAAAAGGAATATTTAGATGTTACATGGACGAATGGTGAAAATGGACAGAAAATGACCGAAACTGTAGATGGTGGCTATGAACGATCAGTGTTAATTCAGGCTGCACTCACGTGTGGCGTAATAGAAATAAGAACACTTATAAACTTTTTGCCACTTATTGCGGCTACAATGTTTGGTGAAAAAGCTGTTATTCTGCTAAACATTTTTCTTAACTGTTATGTAATTTTAAGTCATGGAATCCTTCCTACTGTATATTTTATTTACAACAAACAAGCTCGTAATATCGTAATGTCTGTTTTTTGCATTCAACTTTAAAATAAATTGTAAAACCTTTTGTTGCATGTATTCTATTCATGTATTCTATTCAGAATATGTATTCTATTCAGAATATGTATTCTATTCATATATAGCAACCTAAATCGATATAAGATTTTTGAAAATCGAAATTTGGTTCTCCTACAGATCGTTCCTAAACAAAAATTTGTGTTAAAATTTGAAGGATTTTTGAATCTTCAAAAAAAAATTGCGATACACTAATCGAACTTTTCGTATTGCTCTCGGAAGAAGCTAACAATCCCCAACTGCGGAACTTCATTCCATTCCATTTACATCAGTTTAGGTGATAGCAATTACAGATAAAAGAGTAGCACGATTGCAGAGTATGCTGGAGTCATACTGTTTTCCTTACTTATGTTGTACGGTGCTTTTGGAAATATAATAATGGCAGTTGCACTCTGTTGTCGGGACAGTCCTTACAGTCATGCATTCATTGTGATCACATCACAACTAATCATCTGTGATCTGCTGACTTTTCTACCAGTGATTGTTGTTTTACCTTCAATATTACAAAATGAAAATCAGTCGAATAGTTAGTTGTTTTATTCACATATCAGAGAGTATCATTTATTACGTATTTCATCATTTGTAATTCAAGCTGAATATAGTTTTAATCTGTTTAAAAGAGAGATAAAGAAGAGAGAAAAAGTAGACATGAATGATTTCGAATACACACATTGAAATATTGCAATAATGGTGGCAATTCGGTGCTATATCAAAATGAACAAAACGATCGCACAGAAATCGTTAGTGAAATTAAATCAATTCAAAAGCGAAATTAAATTATTCAGAAGTTTAAAAATGATTCAAACATTTGAACTAAGAAAAACAAAAATCAAAATAACATTTCCTAAGATTGTGATTTAGAAAATTGAAATTTAATTTCGCAGTCTCAAATATGAGTCACTTATATCATCAATTACGCTCATTGTTTTGAAATCTTATAGATATTTCCAATTCATATTTATTTATACTAACATCAAATACTGAACAAAAAATTCTTGAATAATATTATGACAGCTCACAAAGTGTGATAACAGAAATATGACTTAAGCTTGTTTGATATATTCATTCGATTCCATATGACGTTTTGCCATTTCCGCGATTATTCCAACCATTTCACTAAATATAAATTAACTGTTGTAATATTTTACGTCAAGCTTGTTATGTGTTTATATATGCGTAAGTTAAGAATCTCAGTTGTTACAGTCGCCCTTTCCCATTATTGTTTTACAAAATACCGTGTCGCAAACTTACGTTTGACGTAAAATATTACAATCAATCTATATTTAGTGGAATGGTTGGAATAATTGAGGATGAGAAATTGCACAAGGCAGTCGAGAGAATGCGGAAATATTTTTTGACGTTACATCTGAACGTCATTTGTTTCTTCTAAGCTTTAATGAGTATTAAAATTCAACCTCAAATCTGCTGAACTATATAGATCCAATAGCAACTCCAAATTATCTGCTACTTTCATAGATATTTCAAACCAATTTTACTGTTATAGATTGCGCTGTTACAGCTCTTCAATTTTACTTTATCGCATTAAATACCTACAAAATCATATTTAATAATATTACTTATGGCTCATTACCTATCAGTTTCCGTCATGTATAGACAAAATGCTTACCTGTTCTTGCGCTCATTATGCATATTGCGATATTCTATAATACTCGATGTTTATTTTCAGATATTATCAGTCGAGGTCAAGGTTGATTACAAATTCTTTTAGTAAGAAAAATAAAATTAAGTTAGAAATTATTATTTCTTTATTGCTATAAATTCTTTTAGAGAATTTTTTAGTTAAATTCATTGAATTTTTCTAAATCTTACCTATTTCGCTAACTATTTTCCAAGTATGTCCAGAAATTTCAAAAATGTATGCTGGACATTCTTTATCACAGATTATTTAGATTAATAGATTAATTATCATTTTTGCTATTTAATCCGATACTCCTTATTTGCAATGAATTATGAAATTATTATTGACTTTTGATCTTTGATGTTTCATTGTCTATTAAAAGTGATCTTCACCTGATGTTGAAAGATTTCTTCCAATTATATTCCTCTCAATGAAAATCTTAGACTACTACTTATTATTATATTCGTCAGTAAAAGTTATTCCTAAGTGTTATACTGCACTACTACTATCTACATCGAAGCAAATCTCTTCTGACAACATTTCAACAAATGATCGAAAATTATATTCTCCCTCATTAACAAACACCCAACAAGTGATCGACCCTGTGTGTTATTATTATTGTCCTATGATGTGTAGTGAAGAAAACTTCTCCGAAGATAACTTTGACCAAAAATTCACCGTGCGAAACCAAAACTCTCCCAAAACAAATAAAAATTCACAACAAACTTTACGAAGAATATTGGTAATAATCAATGAAAAGTATAAATTTAGCTGCAAAATGAAGTTCTTGTCTTTATAACGTATTCACCGAAAAGTTTATATTGGTCAAAAATTTAAATTGAACAAAAACTTTAAATATTTTTAATTAATTTTTATTTTCACGAAGCTCACTAGGATCAACGTAAACCACACTTCTGGTACTTATCAGTATGCATCGAGAACATATGTAGTGATAATGTTAGCATAACAGTAATATAAACGCTCATGACGTTGATTATTAACATGATACGAAAGGAAATCAGACAGGGTTGTTCTCGACTGTTTAGGCCGTATTTAAAGCATTCGATGATCTTTCTAATTTTCCATTCATCATCACTCAGTTTTTTTCACAATGAAAAGATTTGAAGCGATACCGAACCGATAAATTACAAAAATCCAAAAGTTTTGAAAAGATTTATCATCAAAGAATCTTTGATATCAAAGCGCGTACTATGTCTTTTATAAAATTTATCTTCATAATGCGGTATAATGCTAATTACCAAAAGAGAAGGAAATTTTTTCATGCAAAATAAATCAAATAACAACCGAACTTTTCAGGAATGATAGAATTTTGATTTACAATAAATGCTGGCTGAAATTGATTGATAATTTAAACTCATATTTTATTATATTATTTGATAAAACAATATCATATGATCAATAAATAAAGCTAATGAATTATTTTACATTCTCTTGATGTTTTTCCTATTCATAAAAGAGATATTAGAATTGTAAAATTTGAATTTTCTATTCAATATTATTACCATTAAAAATAGAAAGATTTGCACCTCTAGAAAAAGTTCACTGAAAGTATAAAATATATAAAATTCGCAGATTGATAAACATTCATCAGTTTGAAGCAGTTAAAGAAATTAAAAGCGGTTGAATTTTCAGTTGTGTTTAAATTTATTCATCTCAAAATAACCAAAATTTTGACAGCGATTGAATTAAATCGAAATTTCATTTAAATATTTTCAATATATTTGTAGCAAAAAAACATTGTTATTTACTTTACAAATTATTGTTTACTTTAAAACAAATGTTTAAATGCTGAAAATAGCTTAGTTCCACTTGACAAAAATGAATACAAAATGAAAATTTCGAAATTCCTGAAATTAATTATCGAAGTAAATTGGGTAGATTTTTCTTCTTTTAATTAAAACGCCGAAAAGATGAATCTAACAGAAGCAATTTTATTCTGTGCTTCTTTAGAATAAGTTCACTGAAAATGTAAAACGTATAAAATTTGCAGGTTTTCATCACTTTGAATTATTTCAGAATGAATGACCTATGTACCATCTTGATTGGTTGAATTTATAAGCAATGAGGATGTCTAGTTTTATTAATTACATTAATGCATATTCATCCGCCACGAGTATTTACTTTAATGATCAATCTTCTGATAGTACACAATCTGATGTAAGCCTCTCTCTTTGCTCACTTATCCAGCTTAGAAATTTTACGAAATATGAAGATAAATCAAATATCGTGAAGGGAAGATTTCTTTCATTATGTTTTCCGGAAATTTAAATTTTCTAAAATTATATACTTGAGCAAATTCAGTTATTTGTAATGTTTAATGCTCTTTGCTTTGTAGGAAGAAAACATAATGTAATATGTCACATAACGCAATGTCTCATAATGTGACATAATATAATGTGAAATTTCTTTATTGATATTACAAAAGTTTCAAATTGAGACTTAAATGTAATAGAAATGTTTTAACTAAAATTTTAATCATTGCAGAGTGATAGAATTGCAATTTGCCATAATGAAGAACAAAATCAACGAAGGAATATTAATTATGAGTTAGGTGATAATTTCAGCCTGTGGGCTTATCTTCGATGCATATGTTGCGCTAAAACTCGATCGTACGGTAAACTTTTTTGTTAACCACAAAAATACAATGTAATGATAATAGTAAGTTCTGGAAATATAATTTCATTTGCTAATGCTTCGTAATTTAGATCGATCAGAAACATTGGTCAAATATGAAATTTTTCTTTTTTAATTTCACAGTAACCACTACAGTAACAATTAATTTGCACATGTGAATGAATAATCTTCGATTTAAATGATTATAAATGATTTTTTTAATCTTTAAAAAGATATGATTGTTTGAAATTGTTACTTTCAGATCCGTCAATGGGTGCTTTACCTCATGAATGGCTAAATTCTGACAAAACAAATTTTCGAACATTGAAAATAGAAGGTTTCAGCAAATGTTTCAACTTTTTGTTTTTGAGGGAGAAATTTGGATGGTACAATGATTTGATTGTAGTGAAAGCTTAATTATTTATAGAATGATTTATTCTTGAGCTATGAAACAAATATCAGAAATATAGTCAGTCACTTGGGTTGATCACTAGGTTAATCTCCTTTACTGTAGATCGAGGATCTGAGGGATTAGTTTAATACTATTCCCGTCGAGATGTTGATTCAGAATAATGTTAATGATAAGATTGAAACTTCTTCCCTTTTTGAAAAGGCCATGCTCGATAAGAACTGTTTATGATAAAGTAGGCAATTGATCACCTAATAGACGAAATTAACGGTAAACAAAAGATCATAAATCATTTGATAATAATTAGTGACATATTTCTGAAATCGTCATCACAAAAATAAAGAAAGTATATCGTACGTTAAGAACTCGTGACAAACAACAACAGTTTTTGACAGTATTCTTTCGATAATAAACAAACCATATCAAATCATATGACACGTGACAAACGTTGACTAAAAATTTCTGATAAGCAATTTTTTCCACATAAATACGAGAATACTTTAATATATAAATAATTTCGTATTATAAGATTATTTCGGGTTTCCGACAGCAAAAACATCTGAAGTACTTAGTGCTATTTTTACCAATTCATTCATTTAATGTTAATTTTTTTGTAATTCATGAACTCCGATATATTACGGGTACTATATTTTGGAATAAAATAAATTGGACGAGCAATATTTTTATCTTTCAATTCATGTTACAGATCTTCAGGGCCAATCAGATGACAACGTATATTCGAAGATTGATTTCTCCACAACGGAATCTTGTACAATATAAAATTACTACCAGCTTGGATGAATTGAATCATTACTTATTATTGGGAGGGTTGCAAAGAATATTTCAACATGCACTTATGATAACATAAATGAATATCTTATCCTTAAAATGATTAGTTTTCCTTTCACCGATAATGAATTGATAAATCATTTAAAATGAAAATGCATTGTTATTCCGAATATATTGCCTTGCGTTTTTACATTTTATTCTATGTTATCATTTATATGATAATATAGAATAGAATGTCTAGAAGCTTTCCATTTTATTATATTAAACATTGTGATAAAGTGATATTTATCATTAATTAGTTGATTAAATTAAACAAATATAGTTTGCTGTTACAGAAATAGGGATAGGTAACCTATTTTAGGCCGCTACCTTCAAAGTTTTTGATGTTTGATATAGCAATAACAGTTACTGTTGAATATCGAATTATTATGGAGGAAATCAATGAAGAAATCAAATTTGATTCATTTAATAGATTTGAGCAATAAACACAAACAAGAAATCTCTTTCTTTATGGAAACTACTTTAAAGCAATATTATAAATATTCGAAAAGTTTCATTTGATAGAATAAAAGAAAACTGTCAGGTTGAGGTCATTTTTTTTGAATGAATAAGCTATAGAAACTTTACAATATGAAAAAAAACGAAAGCAATGTTTTGACACACTTCCATAAAAGAGGTTAAGCTAAAATTATTAAAACTTTGTTTTTATATTCTCTCAAAAATGGTAAAAACAAAAAAACCATATCAGTTTAATTCTACATTCAAATATCGTATATATAGGCTAATTAAATTTTAGTATATATGATAGATATATCTTCGCCTTCTCATTTACCTATTCAGGGAAAATTAGCAATATAATTAGCAGAAATCTCACGTAAATTTTGTGATACATCTAATTATCAGTTATTTATTTGAAATTGATTTGTTTTTTTGTCGCTCTTAAATAAACAATTAATAAGTATTATAAAAAGAAGTGAAGTGGAAAATTTATTCTCACTCTTATTAATGATACTGTAAAGCGTTGTGTTTTTTACTTCTCAATATTAATTCTTCTCAGTAAATTATTTTGAAGTCACTTCATATTTATGAAATTAATACATGCTTGATTTTGTAGAAAAAAATGAGCAAACTTTTAATTGCTTTTGGCTTAGTAATTCTTCTTGTCATAACACCGTCATACCAAAGTAAAGGAAAGGTAAGTTCAGTTTAATCTCAGAATTTATCAATTAAATCAGCTAATGAACTGAAAAAAGACTTTGAAAGAAAAGTTTAATTAATCATGTAAAATTGAGAACTGATTTAATCTGATTTAATACTAGCAGGAATTGAATACAATACAAGAACTAAAAGAAACGAAATGATAAACTTAAGTTGGAGGGAAAATACGATAGCTAAATGTATTGCTTTCTTTGAATACAGAAGATATTTATTCTAAAACATTTTCTCTCTTTCGAAGATGCAAAACTTTTTTAATGATTTCAGATGGGTGAAGAAAGAAAGTCAAGAAGTATTAGTAGAAAAAAAAGCGGAGATTGTACTAAAGGAAAATTCATTGAAACTGATGGCGTGCAAGTCATTTTAATCGTTGAATAGTTTGAGCTCTTGAAAAATTACTTCTTATCTATAAACAATCCTAGCATTTGCGTAGTATAATTAAAATTCTTAATTGGTCTATTTTTCCACTTTAGAGCAGCGCTACTTCTATTTGAAAAATTTATTTTCGCTACAATGATTCCTTTGTTGTATTTTCTTCATTGACTCATAACTTTCCTTTACTTAAATAATGCAATAATTGTAAATGATTTCCATCATGGATCGATTCTCTTATGTTTTATCTCAGTTTGTTGCAGGAAAAAAAAGTGCGAAAATCATGCCGATTGCTATGATCATCGTGAACCGATAGCCTGGTGTAGACCAACAAGGAATCAATCATGGATGTAAGCATATCTTGATACCTTGATTAGTGTTATGAAAAAAAAACCATATGGATTTTTATATGTATTAGAATTTTTTATGCTTGCATATTTTTAAAGGTTTTTGAAAATTGTTCAAGAGTTGAAAAATCTTTTGTTTTAGAGAGAAAGGTTGCTTCTGTGACAGGAAGAAGCATTTGTGCGTTATCGAAAGAATGAACAGTGGTACAGTGGAATATGCGTACTGCGCACCTTCCGCAACCTGGAACTGTCCATAAGATTAATAATTTTGTTGAAATAAAAACAATGAAATCTTTTATAATATGAAAAATTTTATAGCTGATTTCAAGTATGTAAATGTAGTTTTGTTGTGAAATGCTTATCTCTATTCTATAGAATTAAACTTTTCAAGGTGTTAGAGAGAATCATTACAGCATAACATATAATGAATCGAAATGTTGAAATAACAATTTCGTACGGTTATCGGTGAAAACATGTGATCGACGCTTCCATTATGTTACGCTATTTTTCAGTGCATAAATTGCCGAACGTTTTAAAGTAATTAAAATATAATGCACATAAGCTCTCGTTAATGCAATTCATATTTCAGAGTACCAACGATCATTTTACTAATAATTCTAGTAATAAATAATTTGTTGTTATCTAGAAAGTGTTAGAAGATTCTTCTGAAGGAGCAAGTGCGAAAATTTGAGATCGAATGACTTAGAGAATGTCAAACTGAGACATTTTGTAGAAGTCAAGCATAGATAACGTATACGAGAATTTTTTGAACTTTGTCAGTGCTACTACAGTCGTTGGTACCACAGCATTCATGCTTTAATGTTCACAATTTTGCATAATCCGACAATAGCAGTCAGATTATCAATAACAAGAGAAGAGAATATTGAAGCAATTGACCTTTTGTTCTGTCCGTTCATCTCCAATACTTTAATTCCTTTAATTAATAATTTAATTAATAATATTTTTAAAAAATTTTGTCATAGCTTTTTGCCAAAAAAAGTATTAAAATAATTTTTCACTATCTATTTGTGAATCAAAGAAAAATTAAATAGAAATTTATAAAATATGGACGATGTGTTATTTCACACAACAATATTTCCTAAAACCATTATTTTGTTTTGTTCCCATTTCCATATTGCATAAAAAGAAGTCCTGAAATTAGAGATATCAGGAAACCTGAAATACCATAAATGCCTGAAATACAAATGCTGCCAAATGTGAATTCGAAAAAAAACAGATCTATAAAAAATTTCTTGTTTGAAACTGATCAAAAATTAACTGTGAAATTAATTTATTTGTTTATACATTGCTATGGAAACCGCTAATAGCATCAACATTTAATTTAACATTACTTTTATTTACTTCATTCATGCGGTAGATGCGCAAAATTATGGTCTTCATTTCCCACTTCAATTCTGATTTCATTATATATGTGCAGAGCTATTTTTGCGTGACTCTTTTCAGGTCAGTCATTATTTTTAGTGCTTATTCAAAATAAATGAATCATTCTGTTTGCTGATTTCATCATAAATCATCACAAATAGTACACTTTTAAAATAATAATAAATAACATGTAAATATTAAAAATAACGATGCTTACGTTGAAATAAAAGTAGAAGAGAAGAATAAGAAAACTTATTGGATGGAAAAACTAATCTACCATAGTCCTCATTGTTTTATTTATATATTTCTTTTCATTTATTTATATTTTTCACATAATACTTGCATGTAATAATACATCACTATTAACTTAAATATTTAATCTATCATAGTTTCATTTAAATAAAAGTAACAAATTAGGTAACAGGGGAAGTTACAATATAGTATTATATTTGAGAGAAGCTTTCCTTCTATCCTTTGAATTTAAAGCAATCTTTTATGAAGTTAATAAACTTTGAATTTTAAAATTTGAACTTTACCTATATTACATTCAAAGGTGTATTTGCTTCCTTTGTTAAAATTGCTTTTTTCGAATTTACCANTTCCTTCTATCCTTTGAATTTAAAGCAATCTTTTATGAAGTTAATAAACTTTGAATTTTAAAATTTGAACTTTACCTATATTACATTCAAAGGTGTATTTGCTTCCTTTGTTAAAATTGCTTTTTTCGAATTTACCATTTAACCATACAATTTTAATATGGAATGAGCCAATGGTTCACAGTACAACTGAAGATTTAAATACAGAAAAATAATTCGTCAATCCGGAATTGAACGCCTTTCCTCCTTTAATCTTCAACATTCTTCATTGATCAAGATATTGATTATTTCTTAAATGTAAACCTCTTAATATGAAATTTTATGCCTTCTATGATTTGATCCTATATTTTAAAACCATCTCATTTTTATATTTCTTGCTAAAAAACCAGGCTACAGTTGCAAATGATCCCACTGTTAGTAAATAAAATTTTAGGCTACGGTTGCAAATGATCTCATTATTAGTAAATAAGCAAAACTTTGTTTTATTTGAAAACATATCATATCCATTATCACTGATATAAGTATTTAAAAATGAATCAAATTTTCAATCATAATATATATAAATTATTTTTTTGCATAATGAAAAGATTTCAGTTCTACGGTACTATTTGTTATTTTGTTATTCTCTTCTTTTCATCCGCAATTTGAATTCCTTATGGTGAATATTAGTTTTCCCATAACGATTCGAATATCGTTGATAACATAAGCTGGAAACAGTGGAAACTGTAGAATATTTTATATCAATGCAAAAGAAACGATACATTGCATTGCTTTTGTTTCATCTAATCAAAGATATAACACAAATTGTTTTTATTTATGACAAATATTCGTTGCATTTTTGTAATGTTTTTTGAGAAATATTTTAAATTTGTCAAATTGTTTAAAGTTTTTTCTCGATTTTCTCATTTTATCCATTTCACAGGTCACGTAATTTAGTTGAAATTCAAGAATGTTTGCAGAATATACTATTTACTATCTAACATATCCCATCCAAACTAAAATTGCTGTAGACATATGGAATTAGCATACTGTATTCAATGAGGTTTAAGCCATATTGAAGCAAATTTGGTCGTGATAAGCTTCGAGAATTAAATCGCTTTCACTAGTTAGGCTTTATTTCACTATATACTATCAATGCATGTAATTATGCAACACATAAAATTTAACTAAATCATGGACCAAAAGTAGCAATAAATACAATTTTAAAATAATAGCGAAATTAATTGAGTAGTGAAAAGTAGATTAAGTTTTAATGGAATTGTTCTTTACAATCATACAAATTTTTCGGAAAAAGTTTGTCGAAATGAATTAAGTAATGTTTATCAGTATGAACAGAAGAATTTAAGTTAATGGAAATATGATCGGTATAGAAACCCACAAATCCCATAAGCGGTCTTGTGAGTTTTGCAGGAACAAAACATAATCTGTTTCAAGTTTAAGTTTTGTAGTTTCTTACAGAAACTTCTATCAAAAAATAACTTTAATGAGTGTATAAAAGTTCCACCATAACCGAACCTAATTTTAGATTCTCAGTTGAACTGGACATCATTTTTTAGAAACTTTTTCCACAATCTAATATCTCAGGCTAGTTAGCATGAGCCACAACAGCAGCTCTTCCAATTCCAACTTTCAAATGCAAACGTAGAAAGAAACACTTTACAAAATTCCGAGCTCGTTTATTGTAAATGAAATAAATTGTAGGCAGAATGGAACGACCGCAAATGCTGTAGCAGTTAATCAAAATAGCTAATGATACATCGTGCTGGTTGTGTTTTTCAATCACAAGCGGTAGTAAATTGTGAAAAATAACTCCGAGTTCCATAAAGCCACAAATCAGTGCAGCCTGAATTAGCATCGACTGTTCATAAGATTTCCCAATGTTCATTCTTTTCCATGTAGTAATAATCCTTGAAGTTTCTAAATATGCATGCTTACCAAATTAGATAAGTATTTGAGAAGAATAAAGAAAATTTAACAAGTTCTGTAAATTGCAAAACCACCTTTGGAAGAACCTTTATATTTGTTATCCTTATTATGCAGAAAGATTTGGTAGCACTAACTCCGTGCTTGACTGATGTCTGAAGTAAAACGACGTTTACGACGTATACTGCAGAACATCGCAACATACATAATGAACATCGCAATAGGTAAGAGTGACAACCACAGATAGCGAATCCTGAAGATAAGCGATTGGTAATAGTTATTAAATATGATTACAAATAAAGTAACGTTAAAAGATAACCTCAGGAAAATTTCACTTGAGTGTATTGTGCAATTTTCTGTCCAGCGCAATTTCAAAGCATTAAAGCCTCTAGTGCAAAAGTAAAGATCGACAGTTGAAATCCCTAAAATTCCAATCTTGATATAAATAATAAGCTAAGAAATTCGAAGGAAACTTATCATTACGCTAGTGAAGTGCTCGAAATAGGCAAGCATTCAAATATGAATTAAATCTGAATTAGTCTATGCTCACAAAATTATAAGACAGGTCAGTTAAAGTATAGAAATTATTATTAGAAAGAGTAATTTATTAAATGATTTTAATAAATCATACCTAAAGCTGAGAACCATATGAGAATGATTATAAAATATAGCTTTGCTGATTCGAAAAATTCATTATATTTTGGCAAAATTAGCGCAACAAAGCGATTTATTGTTAACAGCAGCAGGAAATGTATTAGGGAGAGAAATGTAAACGGTTTTAGCGATGAGGTCGTGCGGACAATCCATGTCATTTGATGAACTAAAGCAGAAGCAAATTAATTAATTAAGTATTTATTAAATGTTGCAGTGAAAATCGTCTGTTACTCTTATATTGTGAAAAGGCCTTTGACAAAAGATATGCACCTTTCAAAGATAATAGAAAATCTTTATTTTTTTATCCTAATTGAATTAAAATTCATTTTTCCAAATTTATGGTTAAATGATTTTGATATAGCACCGAATTGCAGCATTATTGCAATATTTCAGTATGTGTGATTCGAAATCATTCGTGTCTACTTTTTCCCTCTTCTTTATCTCTCTTTTAAACAGATTAAAACTATATTTAGCTTGAATTACAAATGATGAAATATGTAATAAATGATACTCTCTGATATATGAGTAAAGCAACTAACCATTCGACTGATTTTCATTTTGTAGTATTGAAGGTAAAACTACAATCACTGGTAGAAAAGTCAGCAGATCACAGATGATTAGTTGTGATGTGATCACAATGAATGCATGACTGTAAGGACTGTCCCGACAGCAGAGTACAACTGCCATCATTATATTTCCAAAAGCACCGTACAACATAAGTAAGGAAAACAGTATGACTGCCACATATTTTGCAGTCGTGTTACTCTTTTCTCTTGCATCAGTTTCGTAACAGTTTAAGGATAATGTTAGCAATGATATGATAATGAAGCCAAGATGAGTGAATATAGCCATTATGTCGAATCTTTTCTTGAACTATTCCAGAATTATGAAAGTATATGAATGGAATCTTAATTGACCGGATGTTTCTTAATTGACCGAATAAACTATAAAAACACCTGGAATATAAGTCTGCAAATTGTTATAGATTCAAATTTAAAAGCAGCAAATATAATCGTTGAGAATATTTATTATCAATTAAGATTGTCCAATTCTTAAAGCGTAGTTTTTGCAGTTCTCCTGAAAACTACTATTAGCAACAGCACTGTTATTAGTTACTTTTACAGTCAACTTTTAGCAGCAAAATCACACAGAATATATTTATTCCAACAAAGCAAATTTAGATAAACGGATAAGACAAATTTGAATAAAAACTTCCATATAAATTTCCACTCCACTTTTATGTAACTATCTCAGATATTTCTTTTATTGCACCATTATGCAAAAAGCTGCAAAACATTTTTTATTCAAATAAGATAATAAACTATAAAACAAAAGTGGACAAATTCTAATTTTGAGTCACGCAATAATTTGTATTTGCAGGATGATTCCCATTAATCGTTGTAGAAAATTTAGATTTATTCATTATCAATGCTTGTTATGTTTGCATGATGCAGAAATTGTAAAAGGAAATTTTCATCAAAGAAGCAAATATCATAAATATTTTTATAACATGCATTATGTAACTGAAAAAACAACCAAACAATTTCAAAACAACACTTTAGAAATTTCGGTGGTTGATTTATTTTGTTTCATTTATATCGAAACAACTTAATATAGACAGTAACTAACAGCTTAATTTATATCGTAAAGTTTAATTTGAAATCAGGTCGTTTCTTTTATTACGATGATGTCATTCATCCATTTCATACATTTCACAAACTAATGATATTATTTATTCATTAATTTTTCATGATATTCTTAATTGAGGTAATTGATTAATAAAATGTGGTAGATATGTAGAGTATATTATGATTTTTCTTGATTTTTTTGGTCGCGGAAACGAAGTTTTTAAATACAAATTAAAATAGCCTTTGAAAATTTTAAATTGAAATGTTTATTAAATCAAAATTAAAATTTTAATTTCTTCCTAATTAAATTCCCAACTAAAATAAAATACAAAATTCTAATTAATTTAAATTCCCAATTAAAATTTTTATTCGAAGGCTGAAATGTGATCGCTTTTTAACAAAACTATTACAATAACAGGAAACAAAGAACTCAGGCACCTTGCAGATATGCATATGTATTAGACGTTTTGCGCTGTAGCAATCACTTTCATCAGATAGTTACACTTTCATCGGATAGTTAATACACGAAATATGGAAACAATGCTTCATTAAAATAATTAAAGGGATGTTTTTATTATTTCGCAATTGCTTTTTTTTATATTGTGAAGAATATGTGAAGAATTGGTTAAAATAATTTAAATATAAATCATCATTCAAAATGCAGCATTTCGAATTTATGCAGAAAATTTGAATTAATTTTGAAAGACGATTTTAAGGCATCAAGAAATGATATTCAATATTGTGAGCTAAGGAACAGACAGTATTATGTTATCCAAAAAAACATAATTCTGATTTCTTTTTCTGGCAGTCTTTTATTTGATTCTGAATAAACCAACTAAAAGAAATATGACAAATAATAACTAATTGGATTAAGTTTTTAATAAAACAGTGTGTTCAAAAAAATTTTTCCACCTGAACTACAAACCTATACGTGCATTGTTACATATAAAATTTGATAAAATTTCAGTCGGAATCCTTCATGTCTTCAGATATATTTTTATAAAAAATTTTACTTAGATATGTACATATATATATATATTTGTGAAGTAGAATCAAATGTCTACAATCTGAATAGTTTTCTGCATTGTGGTACTTTAATTGTATGTCACTATTTTTATTTCAGTTTAGTTCATATATGAGAAGCTGCCGGAATATTTCTTTCCAAGAGTGTGTGCAAAATGGAATCGCGAAACTATTTCATCGCAGTTAAATCGAATTTCGTTGCATAAAGAAAGATGATCAGGTCTGTATTTAATATTTTATTTTAAAATTCACTTATTTAACAGACTGGATATTAATTAAATGGCTGTAGAAAACGTGCAATAATTATATTATTTCATGAAAGTAAAAAAATAATACTGAAATTACATATTCTTCAAGCACTTCTGTAATGTAATTTCATAACTTTTTATTTGTTGGCTAGCAGTATGTAACGGCTTAAGAGACTGTACGGGTGGTATTTGATTTCATAGACTGTATTCCTCTGATATGCGTAAATGTCGTAATAGCTGCATTTACGCAAATCAGAAGAATACAGTCAGAAAAATGGGGGTCATTTGATTATTGCACGCATAAAGGATATTCAATCAGTACTAGATGATATCATAGATTTTTTAAACTTGGCCATTATGTAAATTTGATGAAGAGATGGTTACAAAGATAATTGTTTGCGGCAATAACCTTTCACCTTGAACCCTCAAAAGAAGGAAAAGAGAAGGAAAAACAAATTAAAATAGACAAAAGGGAATTGAATAAGCGTAAAATCTTACTGATTTGTTTTCTATTATTGGGCGATATTATTTGCTACTATAATACCATTTTACTAATTAAAATTTTATGCATGATTTCATTTCAAAAATCAACTCAGTTACATTATTTATTAATCATACAGTTATTCATTACAGATTATTTCATTTTCACTTTTTGTCTTTGTTATCACAAAGAAAGTTAATAAGTTATTGCTTCCACTCAAACTTGCTGAGAGCAATAATTTATAACAAATATGCCCAAATTATAAAAACAGTTTGCTTCCCGAAAATATTTCTATCTCGTGTGATTCATCGCATAAATTGTAATTTAATGAACACAACAATGTCTAATATGATGAATATTTTGACTAAAATCTCATTATTGTTTTGATTACATTGCTTATCATTATGAGGAGAAAGCTAATTGAGACCATTTTGCATGATAACTTAAGCGATGCAAAGTAGAATGTTTCAGAATGGATCATTCTTACTGCATTATTGCTTTATTCCTAGTATCGCCATTAAATTGTCACGAAGAGAATATGACAGATATTTTTGACATAAGAGGCGACTACAATATGTCAAAAAGATGCTTCGCAATTATATCATTTTCTCTACTTCTGCTATACGGTATTGTTAGCAATATACTGTTGGCGATAGTATTCTGTAGTCGCAACAATATATACAATCGTCCATTCATCCTTATCGCATTCCAAATTATTATTTGCAGCTTTTTGAATTTTTTTACACAAATAGTCATCGTCATACCTGGAATATTAGAGAACAAAATTTCTGATTGTAAGTTCTTGTCTTTCTATTGTCAACTTAATAGCGGTCGTTGAGAGGATATACATAATTTAAAATCGCAGACATAATCTGATTGCTATGGCTGATGCGGTTAATTAGTGAGATAGAAATGAATGAATCCGTTAGTGTGTGCTTCGACAATTTTGTACATATTACAACAGATTTGTCTCAATTAATTTATTTATTTTCATTCCAGCATATAAATCAGTAGCATTCCAAAGAATATTTGCTTCTGTAGATACACTCTCATTTTTTGGTATGCTGCATTTTACATTTCTATTGACGGCTAATCGCTTTGTGGCCATATGTTTACCGAAATACAATGACTTCTTCGAATCATCGAAGTTCTATTTTCTCCTCATCTGCATGTGGTTTTCAGTTCTCGGTACGATCAATTGAGTGTTTTATGCATTTTATGAAGCATCATTACTTGCAAATGATTTTAATTACAGTTGCAAATGAATATTGCACCTTTTATATCTGCTGCACCAGGTTTAAGAATCTCTCAATGTATACTGCCATAACATTTGACAATTAAGCACATGCGAAACAATATGAGCAAAATTATCAAAACTTGATTGTTTTCTTCTTTTATTTACCATCTCATTAGCTTACCGATGATCAGCCTTGTACAACATGAATCTAGTTAGACTGTTCTAAATCAATTCCAGTGCTTTCAATACGCTATCAGAAACACATCATAATTTTGAAATGACATTTCAGGGTTTTCGGTCCTGGAGTTTATTTACTGCTTTAAAACTTTCAATATTCCGAATTTGCAATGGTATTTTAGATGCGCCGAAAAGACGTCAGAAAGTGCTGGACTGCTCATGACGTTTGTATTTTTGAAATAAAATTTTTCTTTTCTGAGAAGAACATTATCTGATGTTATCCTATAAAAATGAGGAATTAAAAATCAATTACTTTCATTAGAAGTATACTTTTAAATATCTTTTTTGTTGAAATAATATTCACCCGTCAGCATCTTCATCTTATTATTATTCGTCCATTTCTGTTCAGAATCCATCATGTGTGGACGCTAATACTACCTATAGCGATGTTTACGATGTACATTGCAATATTCTACAACATTCGGCACAGACGGCACAACGTTTTGCAGTTCTGCAAAGAAAGCGGTAACTTCTGCATTAATTTTTTGCATAGTTAATAAAAAACGCACTGTAATAATTTTTAAACCGTTTAAATTAGAAAATAATTAATAATTCCTTCCATTTCCTTTCATCTAATTTGCAAGTTGATTAATTAAATTTAACTACTCTAAGAAATAGGATGTAAAAGGGTATACACAACAGGAATTAGTAAACTTTAATGAGCGATGTTAATCCTCAAATACCTCAATTAAAGTCAGCCATTCAAGAATAATTGCAGGATGGGAAGCAACGATAACGTCTAAATATGAACGGTTGATGTTAATTCATTCAGTAATCATTTGTGCAGCACTTGAA